GCCTCTGGGCACCCTGTGCCTTCAGGGCTGGGTTTTAGGGCTTCCTTTGATCATGTTAACCCCTTTATCTCACAATAATCCTACAGAACTGGTACTGTGGTCATTTTATATTGAGGGGATTGAGGGTTGGAAAGGACCTAAGACCACACAGTGAAGGAGCAACCAGAAGTGACCCAAGTGACTCCCAGGGTGCTCACTCTACAGAGTGGTTAGAGCGAGGCTTAAGGGGAAGGGCTTTTCCAGGTCTCTGGAGGTAGGAGAATGTGGTCCAAATTACTCTGGGCAAGAGGCTGAATTGGAAAGTGAGGGGATGAGGCTGGAGCTCATGGGGGAAGGAGTGGGATTGGAGCCTGAACTGGGGGGAAGTTTCAGTTTCCTTTCCCTTTTTTTTGGTATCGAGGATTGAACTCAGGGGCACTCAACCCCTAATCCACATCCCCAGCCCTTTTTTGTATTTTATTTAGAGACAAGGTCTCACTGAGTTGCTTAGCACCTTGATGTTGCTGAAGCTGGCTTTGAACTCAGGATCCTCCTATCTCAGCCTCCCAAACCATTGGGATTACAGGCTGGTGCCACTGTGCCCAGTTCAGTTTCCTTTTTGAAGAGACTTCCCCTAAGATGGGGATTTTGGTTGGAAAGTTGTAAGCAATACACATTCTACTGGTTTGGCCATTCCTTTCTCAAAGACACCCATGATCTGAAAAGAAACTAAAAGTCAGGAAGAGGTGAGGAGTGAGTCAGGAAAGTCTCATTGTGGCCCAGATAAACTGGGTTGAATTTCTGTTTACCTCTTCAGGCCTTGGGTAGGTAAGCAGGTGAGCTGGGAGCACTGCCTTTTGGCTAATGGGAAAGCTGCACCCCAGAGACAGCTCTCTTGGGTAGAGACTGGGCACCACTGGTTTATGCAGCCCCCACCAACATCCTCCCCTCCACACACATCTCTCTCCCTCTTCAGGGGAAGGAAGAGGAAAGAGAGAAACCAAAGTTCTGGGAGGCCTTAAATTCTGAAAGGGGATTTTTCAGAATTCCTGTCCTTGTGATTTGGTGACTGGATAGTGTGTCCCAGTGAAGGACCCTGGAGGAGGCCCAAGGACCATACCAGAGTTCAAGGCCTATAATTAGCAGGTGGGCTGTGGACAACCAAGCCAGAGTCAAGGGAGCCCGGGCCCATGGGGAGCAGCCCTGGTTCTGGGAGTTGTGCCCTGGAGGCCTGGCCCTGTGCCTTGCCCACCACCACCACTGCTCTTCTCAACCTGAAGCACCTCTAGTTGCCTCCAGCTTAGAGCTCCTAAAAACCACTTTTCTCCAGTCCTGCCCTCCTCCTTTTATCTATCTTTCTTTTTTTTGGTACCAGGGATTGAACCCAGAGGTGCTTAACCACTGAGCTACATCCTAGACCTGTCTTATATTTTATTAGAGACTCAACTCACTGAGTTGCTTAGGGCCTCGTTAAGTTGCTGAGGCTGGGTTTGAACTTAAGTTCTCTTGCCACAGCCTCCCAGATCACATGCACCACTGGGCCCAGCTTTATCCTTTTATCTCGCTCACATCAACATCCGCCTCATCAAGATTTGGTTTCCTCCTATGAATGGGAACCATGATGGTGCACATCTCATGGGTCCTGAGGTCATGTATGGAGAGCTGTCAGTACATGGCTGTGCATACAGCAAGCACATCACCAGTGCCAACAGTCATGACCATATTACTGTTGATTTTTCCTGCCTTTCTATAAATCTCCCCAATGCTTGGGAATCCCTATGATTCTCTACTCCAGGGTTCTTCCTATTCCAATCTATGACTCCTCTTGGGTCCTTTCCTGCTGCCTGCCTCACCCATGCAGCTGCATAGATACTTCCTGGGTGACCTCATTCAGCTCTTGGCTACAGGTATCTCTTATTGGCAGTGATCAGAGGCCAGATTTCCTGGGATCAGTACTGATTTAAAACCTCTGTCCTGGCTGGAGATGTAGCTCAATGGTAGAGTGCTTGCCTAGCATGCATAAGGCCACGGGTTCAGTCCCCAGCACCACAACCCAAACAAACAAAAACCCCTCTGGGTGTTGTCTCTGTAAGGACACCAACCAGACTTTGGGCACTGGCTTTTAGCTCAGGAAATGTGATTGGATGTGTGTACTTAAGCCTAAAGACTTCAGGCTGCTTCCTGATGTCCTCCTGAATTTTCCTTGGGTCTCTTGAACTCAGCAAGTTGAGACTCAGCAACTCCCCCACCAAGTCTTTTTCCCACTGATGCCCTGTCCTAGTCAATGGGTCTGCTTCACCCAGTGACACCTAAAACAGAAAATCGGGTGGCCCAGCATCACTCCCCTGTCCCCATTGTTTCTGCACCCAGCCTGTCTCTGAATCCTAGGATCTCATCTTCCAAACTTTGGCCCAGACTTGGCCCTTCCTCCGCCCACACCTGCACACAGACTTCATTGCTCCTGCATTGCCTCGCTCTAGGTTCTCCCTCCTTGGGCCTCTCCTCTGTCCCCTTGCCTGTCTCTCCTACTACATGGGAAATCCCTGAGGGCAAGGACCCGCATGACTCACCACTTACCCTTTCTACACTTGAGCCGAAGGAGGGACTCCAGGAAGTCTTTGTGACTATGAATCAGGAGGCCCACCCTCTCACTGAACAGATGAGCAGACTGAAGCCCAAGAGGAAGGATGGGCTAACAGTCACATCAGGAGGAGGCCCACCTGGGTCAGAACTGAGGCCTCCAGGTCAAGCTGATGCCCCCAGGAGAGGATGGGGACTCTGGGGCTGGGAATTGGGCTTTGCCAAGCCACATCCTTTAGGGAATGTGTGTCTATGGGGTGTCTGGTCCCTGTAGCTCCCCTTCCCCCTCCATCCCAGGCATCCTGTTCTTCGTATTCCTCCTTTCTCTGTCACTCCATCCTGGCTAAGGCTCACCTCTCAAAGGTTTTGACCACCACAGCCTCAGTGGCCCAGTGAGGCACACCTAAGCCCTTTGGGAACACTCACACAGTCACTCTTCTACCCCCACACTCACACTCATAGTCACACACCCAATCACAGACACAGTCACCAACACACAGTCTCAAAGAAAGAGGTATACACCCAGAAAGTCTCAGAGTCACCAGGTATCACCAAAGTTCTCCCTCCCCCTTGAATACACAGAGCCAAAGAAAGATGCAGACTTGTACAACCACAAATATACACACCTGGTCTCTCTCTCTCTCTCTCTCTCTCTCTCTCTCTCTCACACACATACACACTCTCTCTCTCTCTCTCTCTCTCTCTCTCTCTCTCTCTCTCACACACACACACACACACACACACACATACACAGCCACAAAGTCTCAACACAGACACAGAGTAATACATAGTCACACACAGAGAAAAACAGACACACACAGTTGCACACAGGCTTCCAGAGACACAGAACAATGGGCACATTGTCTGGGTTGGCAGCAGCTGGGAAGGAAGGAGCCGCAGTGTGGCCGGGAGGAGGCCATAGGGCTGCTGTAGGACACCCACCCCCAAGCATACTAAGTCTCCTCCCTCTTCAAGAAGTTGGATTCTGCTGGGACCTGGATTTTCTACAGGATTGGGCTCCCAGGCACCTCCTCCCCAGCCCCCTGAATGTCTGGTGGGATGCAGTCCCCCCTCCACCATGGACCAGGCTCTCTAGCCACTCAAGATCTTTTAGCTGTGTTGCTCCACCCTGCTCCTAGAATCCTCTGAAAAATGTGCCTCTCACCTCTACCAGGCAGCACCTGGAGATCAGGAATCGTGGGATCCCATCTTAACCTCTGACCCCACCCAACCCCTCCAAGACTCACACATCCTTCATCTAAGCCCTGCCAGCCGGTGCGGGCAGCGCCTGGCAGCATTGTGGGTTCCCTATTGTGGTGAAGACAGAGAGCAGGTCACGATGTCCATCCCTGAGTGGTAGCAGATGGAGGAGTCACTGTACTGTCAGTGAGCTGCAGTGGGGGTATGGGGCTTTGTCCCCAACTAGGTCTTCTTGCCTCCACTCTGACCAGGGAGATCCAGATTTCAACAGGAAATTCCTCCAAGGATTTTTAGCCTCCAGTCTCCATCTTTCCAGACCCTTTCTCACCCTTCGCTACTGTGTGCCCTTGAGCATGTCAGTTTCCCATTCTGAACTTCAGTGTTCTGGTCTGTAAATGAGGGGCAGTGTTAAATCTCAGAATTGGGGTGGGGATGAGGATACAGGAGTGAATGGGGAATGCTGAAGCCACCTCAGCTTTCCCGGCCCCTCTGCAGCCAGATCTGTGGGGAATTCCCAATTTCTCAGGCCCTGGGGTGTCTCCATACCTCACAGCCTCAGGCCTCCCAGGAGGTCTTACCAGTAAGAGGAAGGGAGGGACCGGCTGAGCTGTAGCACCACATTGCTTCCTCCAGCCCCCATCTCTTTCCTCCTGGGGACTGAGGGTAGGCGGCCAGACAGACACATCCTGGACTAGCCAGGACTTTGGGGAAGGAGAAGTGAAGAGAACCAAGGTCTTCAGCCATCTCCACCCTGCTCCTACCTCCAGGCTCCCCACTCTCAGGCAGGGTCAGAGGTTGGGCTGGGCAACCTTGGGGGCTGTCTCCAAAGGACTCTCAAAGGTGCTGAGGGACCTTTGGTGGCATCCCATCCCTTCCCTTCAAACTGGAGTGTTTAAGGTCTGTTGAGTCCCTCACTGGGGTTCTGTTGCCTGTATGAGGAGGGGAGCAAAGCAGGAAGTGGGGGACACCAAACTCAAGGCAGACGGGTTACATCAACGTCTCTGCGCCTCAGGCCATCGGCCTCACGCGGGGAGATGCCCGTTAAGATCACAGATCCCTACACCCCACCCACATCACACACACAGGAACTTTGTAGTGGGTTCAGGTCGAAGGCCAGAGAGAGGTGAATTTCTCTGTCCTGGCTGACGGACTGAGAGGAGGGACGATAGACTGATGGACAAGCCTCACAAGTCTGACTAGAGTGACCTCGCGTTAAGTCACACCTCCCCTCCCGCCCCCAGGCTGGTAGCGGCAAGCAGGTAGGGAAGTGGATGGGACCTTTGACAGGTCTCCAGACCTTCGTGGCGCCGGACCCAGCGCGGGGCCCCAAGGCTGCTATGATCATATTTTCTGGAGCATAACTCAGGACCAGCCGTCTGACGAGTCTGGGCATGTGAGCCCTTCGAAGAGTTCAAGGGGAGACTGACAAGGGCTGCAGTGCAGGACCAAGGAGATGGGGGCCACCCCACTGTGCGCGGACGCCCACCCTGAGAGGGAGGCGGTGAGAAGAGGAAAAGACTGCGCGCTTCTCTTTCCTCGAGGATGCCCTCTGCGTTCAGCTCGCTTAAGGACCGCTGCCTCTTCTTCCCACGATCGTCCCTACCTGCTCCTGGTAGTCGGGAGGGACTGGGGGAGACCGGACCGCCAGCGTCGCCCACTGCGCAAGTGGGGCCCGCGACCGACCCCGCCTCCGCCCCTCGATTGGGTGCTCATTTAAATGTCCGGCCCCGCCCCGAGCTCTGGGCGCATATATATAGGCGGCTCGGCGGG